GAGCTAAGGATTAACGAGGTCTTATCTTTTAACGTGTGATTCCTAACACAAAAGGTATTGTTCAGTGAGCCAGTGTGATAAATATATATCAGATAATGTATTCATTCACAGCTTTCTCGAAGATTTGAAACTAAGGAAGAAATGGAAAATTATACTCTAAATCGCCAGATCAGCAACAAAATTAATTAATATTTGTAGAGTCGCTTCGACAAAGATGATTCAACAGTAAGTACATAAAATACTGTGTATGTATATCAATGTATTAGTAATTATATTTAACCTATTATATTGTAAATAAAAGTTATTTCTCTACAGGAAAAAATTATTGAAGTACCAAAGTAAAGATTGAGGTTTTATTAATAAAATCTGCTGTTTTTATCCAAATGAAATTCAAACTCTACATTTGATCAGAAAGAAATACCCAAAAGTTTGCCATTTCTACAATGAAATTCCTATAATTTTGTACCTAATTGTACCTAATTCTCCTGGAGTATTTAACAAACATCTAATTGAAAAGCGATTAGCGCGCGAATTCTGGCTTGCATATCATTTTTATTGGATGAATTAGAGGTCTTTATCAGTTGACAGTTTTATTGATTCTGTGACCTCTTTAACGACAGAGTTGAAAATTGATACGGATTGAGCATCTGTCAGATTAGAATGAGTAGAAATACGTTTCCGTAGAATTCTTTGAATACTGAACGAAAATAAATATTTTAGAGACTATCCATCACATCACATTTGGAATATTGAATACAATGGGTTTCTTAAAGCATAACCTAGTGATATTATTCAATAATACAGGTTGTTTCTGAATAACATGCAAATATTTGAGGTTATCTTTAGATGCTGAGAAAAATATTTTTTATAATAACTTTTGTATGACTTCAAATATTTTTATACAATGTAGTACGCATAAAAAAAAATTCTTGCACCGTTTGCCAAACGAAATAAAAATCAAGATATAATTTTTTTTAGTAGAAGAATGACGATGAAAAAAAATAGTTTGAGAAAAATCAGTTGCGTATCACTTTTATTTCATTTATTCAGTTCAGATTCCGCGGGGACGCCACTGTCGAGAATAAAAATTATGTAGCACAGTTGAAAATGCCTTTAACGCATTGAAGATTATGTAGTACGTTCTACAGAAATATGCAATAGCTGCCATTTAAAAATATTTTTATCAAATCTGATGAAAAAATATGAACCTTGCATGCAGGGGTTGCAAAGAGTGTAATAAATCATCAATAACGTGGTCCAATCCATGATGCATGAATAGAACATTATCTTCAAATTTATCACCCCATCAACTAAATACGCTTTAGCACTAAATCAAAATACCTACTAGTCGTTTCGGAAGCAGTGGCTGATTTAGGGGGGGGGAGGGGTCGCAGTCCGAGGCGGCAAATTAACTTCTGTTTTTCTTTTTCGATAAATATAATAATAATTCTTAAAAAACGGGTCAGTTTATTCATAATTTTTCTATAATATTTTTCTGATATTGCATTACACTGTTGCGTATCCTTAAGAGAGACAGTAATCATGTTACAAAAAGTTTTCATCTGAATAAGTGATAACTTGATGCTCAAGTCATGGGAAAATAATTCCCAGAGCGATATATGAGTGAGTCTAAAAACAATGTATTTTCCCAATCTCTATTTAAATAATCTTTGATTTAATAATCTCGATATTAATTTACTAATCCAACAATCACAAAGCAAATGATGTTTTTGATATTTTGAGTAAATGAATATGAATGATATAAATTTACTATCGAGATTTCCGAAATTTCAACCAAGATGATTTTTTCAATGATCTCCACCTCTTTGATTGGGATAGAATCTTTCACTTCGAAACAGTAGATGCAATGGTAGAGTTTTTCACCACTAACACATCAATTTTTTTCAATGCCCATGCCCCAGTTAGGTCTATAAGAAAAACAAAACCGCCCGCTCCATGGCTTACCTGTAAAATCAAGGAAACTAAGAGATAAAGCTCTTGGGAAGTTCAAAGTAACCAAATCTCATAGAGACTGGACGAGCTATAAGGAACTCCGTAATTATACCACCGGAGCAATCCGACGTGAAAAAATAAGGCCTATTTTGTGCAAGGTCAGAAGAATTTGCTAATGAGACATTATATTTTTGAAGTGAAACTTCTTTACACGCGCTTGACTTGGGAAGTAAGCTGGTGAATGCGTGACGAGAGCATTACGAAAAGTGTGATCGGGCGAGGCGAACGGAAGTTGAGAGGGAGATATGAGTTAATGAAGATAGAAAGAGATAGTTACGTTTGATATATCATTTCCTCAGAGGTTCATACGGATATTCCGGCCAGCTTTGATGTTGTGTCCTTGTTTACCAATGTCCCACTAGAAGACTTTCCGAGAGAGCTAGCCTACTTGTTTCCTATGTCTCACGGGAATTACTTTCAGTGGAAGTGACGTGGCGATGAGAAGTCCACATAGCGCAGTGATAGCCACTTACATCATAAAAAAACGTTTTGAAGAGAAAGCAATTAACACCTTTGAATTGAAACCAACCTTATGGCTACGTTACGTTGATGACACCTTCGTCATCTAGAAACTTGGAAGGGACCCTCCAAACCTACTCCTAGACCACTTGAACGCGCAACACCCAAGCATCAAGTTCACCATGGAGACTGAACAGGAGCAGCGGATAGCATTCCTAGATGTACCGTGTAGCTAGTGAACCGAAAACCCATACACACAAATAGGTACCTGCACGCACTATCGAACCACCATATTTGTCAAAAGAGAGGAGCCATCTCCACTATAATGGAACGGGCTCAAAAAATATGTGGACCAGAGCATCTAGAGGAAGAACTGAAACATATTTAATTGACTTTGAGATCGAATGGATATAGTGTACCCGAGGTCAACAAAGTCATGAAACTGAAGAGTTCTACGGCTCAAAACGGGAAGAAGGCTCAGGCACGCGCATGTCTATACCTTATATCCCTAGGGTCACAGACAGAATTGGAGAACTCTTGGGAAAACACAACACTAAAACGGTTTTCAAACCCACCATGAAGATACAACAAAGCCTCAGGTCGGCTAAGGACAAGAGGGGTCCACTATCAGCAACAGGGGTTTATCGCATACCTTGTCCTTGTGGGAAGGTATACATCGGAACCACCGAAAGATCCATGGAAAAAAGGCTGAAGGAGCATAAAACTGCAGACTAGGCCAAACGGACAAGTCGGCTGTGGCAAAATACGCACTCAGTGAAGGAAACCACAGAATTATGTTTGAAAACACGGAACTCATTGCCCCCGAGCAGGGATATCATAGCCGACTGGCAGCTGTAATATCCAGTCATCGGATATATCAACTCAGGATGTATGAACCTTTGAGGAAGCTAGCCACTCGCGCCAGCGAAACGTCAAGAAGAAATTACTAAAATCCACGGTCTTCAAACCCGAAAAATAGTGACACTTTTCGACGAAAAGGAACGACCAAAAACCTTTCTCTCACCGTATTATAGTTATTGCGTAAAAACAACCACCTGGACGTGTACCCTTATATTACCCATTATGCCCTTATATTACCCATTATATTGAGGCTATTTTTTACCATTCCTGCTGTTATTTGTTCACTAGAAAGATCTATTCTGTTCTGACACATCTAATAGATTGCTCTCGCTTTACAATGGGAGAAATATAGAATTCCTAAGAACTTAACTAAGAACTTAACTTAACTAAGAATGTGGACTTTGAAGATGTGTTTTATTTTTTTTGTATGCCACTGTCGTTTTCCTGCGCATTTTGGAGGGTGTATGTGCCAGTGGCGCTATATTGGACCCGCTATATGGGACTGTGGGTTAGAATGTGCATATTGTTTTGGAGGTGGCAATAGGAAATACATGAGTTGTTGCCCTCAAAATATTACGGTATCTCTGATAAAAGATGAAACTAAAACATCTGGCGTAGAATAAATCCAAAACAAGCACTTTTCCCAGTCACCAGAAATGCAGACGCGCTTTCACAAACCGACTTCAGGAGATGAAGAAACCTGCTTTTCTGAAGACACCAACTTGGTTGGTGAAACGCGCTCAGAGAAGAGTACCGCATTTCTGGTGATTGGGAAAAGTGCTTGTTTTGGATTACCGTATCTCCTTTGCATTTTCGAACAGATCTAGTAATCTGAAGTGTATCTTGTTTTCCTGGTGCTCTTAGAACCGAAATTTGACGATCTTCTAATGCGAGGTGTCTTCTGGTTTCATCTGAAACTGTACAGTTTTGATGTTGAAAACAGTAGTTAACGCGCCCGATTTTGTTTTATCGTGATAACTTTGGAACCAGTATATGCCCTCTGCTAAAACAACTTCTATGAATGATATGAACGCTTGACTCAGTGAAGAATACTTTAGAAGTGTGTATCTTTCTCGATTTTTTGACATATTCACTAACTCAAATTCCAGCTGATGCATCGTACCATCGAAAATATTTATACTACTTTAAACCTCATAACTGTTTAGAGACCTTTTCGAAATCTTATGGATGATTCGTAAAAATATAAAAATGATTTAAACAGCAAAGTTCACAAGACACAATAGAACAACACAGTCGGACGAAGAATGATCGTATTGTAGCCACCCTAATGCTCTGACAATCGGATGAAACAGCAGGTATCTCTTTTGGTGATTCGTTGAATGTCCTACCGGTATTACTGAAACCGACATATTTCTTATTGTGATTCAAATATATAACTCACTAAAATAGAAGTAGATGAATCAAACGTCTTCATCTTCTGAAGTCGTCAACTTGGTTTGTAAAACGCGCGTCGAGAAGAGTATTGCATTCCAGGTGAAAGGAAAAGTGTTTGTTTTAAAACCACTTCCACCGTCGTTCGTTATGAAAGAGTCTCTACCACACTCTTGTTTTAGCACCTTCAATCTTTGCATTCTTCAAGATGCCAATGATAAATTTAATGTAACTATTCGTAAAACCTAAACATTCTTTTTTCTTTACAGAAGTCGACCCAACATCATCGTACCACCACCGAAAACCCAGATATGGGCGACTTTTTCCCCTCCCGCAGTTCTGAGCTGGTGGGCTCTGCAGCAATTGTTTCCTAAACTTCAATTTGAGCTGCTTCATTTAATACTCTAGGATTTGCCCTTTTTTTATTTGTCACTGAACCAGTTTCGCAAATCTTATTCAACTAATCAAGAACATACCGGTGACTTACATAACAATTTGGATGTCTTTCGTTAAAAAGACATGCCGCCCTACGTGCGCACTTTCCAACTTCTCCATAAATAATGATCATTTCAATTAGGTCTTGAGAAATGTAAACCATATGTACAATACTATCACATCGTTCAAATAAGCAAACCAATTTTTTGCCTGAAAACAGAAACTTTTTACGGCAGAATTAGCAAAAAAAGATGGCCATCTGAAAACTTTCCGTACGTTTTACTATTAGATTATTTTTTTATGTAAATTAATTGGAGCTAATGGCTAATGTTACCCCTAATAAAGGGTTCGAACGGTACCACCTAATATTCTTACCATTTCTGGTCTAATCATGCATCTCAGTATAGACGTGCTAATAATTACTTCTGTTAGTTTAGAACGCTATTCTTTGGAAAATGCTCATCAAAAAATAATAAGTTAGGGTACCATTGGTTAGGGTACCCCCCCTTCCGATTTAAAATTCTAAGGGGAACATTTATCACTCCTGCGAAGGCTACAAATAGCCCTTGAAAGTGTCCCCGGGATCTATATTTGGCCACTCCACAGGTTTTGGTTTGGTTCTGGTATTCAAGTCGCCTGCTGAGGGGGGGCGATGATGGTGTTGGTGGTGGAAACGGCGATGTGACTTGCAGAAGCGAGGCGTCCAATATTGAGAGATGAACTAGGCAAAAAAAGGCTCAATGAGTTCTTTGTAGCCCACAAAGTAATGAATGAGAATTAATTCTGGTTCCAAAATAATAAAAACACTAATGGTGAATTTTTTCTTTTCTTTAAAAAGTGTGCTCAAAAATGAACTTCGGAGATGTGGCCGCAGCAGTTTTTTACGATCTTACAAAAACATTTGACTGTGTTAACCACGACATATTCCTGCATAAGTTGATTCGATATGGCTGCAGAGGAAAAGCGCTTGAGTGGTTTCAGTCATATCTAACAGGAAGAAGTCAAATTGTGTGAAAAATGAATTATCAAGGAAATTAAAAATCGATTCAGGTGTACCCCAAGTTTCGGTAACAGGCCCAATCCTATTTCTTGTACCTATATGTTAATGATTTATTAAAAATTGGCCTATCTGCTAAAGTGACATTTTGCAGACGATACATCAATCTTATGGCATAGTGAGGTAGTGAATGACCTCTATGAGAAGCTATCTAGCGACATAACAATTGTTAAGTCTTGGTGTGATTCAAATTTCCAAGTACTCAACATAGGCAAAACAAATACGATTTCTTACAAATGCAATCTTGAAGATTTACCTCTGGCAAAAGGAAACATCGAAAATAAAGCTAAGTTTCTAGGTCTCTTGGGAGTCAATGAGAGTCATTTTTAGAGAACTTGGAAGTTTTACTGTAAGAACCTAAAAAAAAGCAAATTCAAATCCAAGATAGAGTGGATGTAAACATTGACGTGCTCTACGCACGTGATATTGAAAATCCCAAGAATTGGCCAGGGTCGTATTCAGAACCAACATCTTGTTGATCGCAAATGCTACATCATACTTAGGAAAACTTTTTTATAATAACGAGTGAAATGCACAAGTTTTGCAGTTTAACGGGATAAATGCAGATAATATGTGTAATATTAGAAGATTTTCATTGAAATTTCAAATTTGAACGTGGTGTTATGCGGAGCTACAACATTCTTCACATCCGCCCATATTAACTCGATGGGATTGAGCTCGCAGCGGTATGGAGGCAGGCGAAAGACAATTTTGTTTTGGCCTGCTGTCATCTCATCGACTATATATTTTTGGTATTCAAGCTTGACAAATTTTAGTAGCTGTACTCTTAGCTTTGAAGGCTCAATTGAGCATTGAGTCTTCAAAGCTAATATTCTTTGATCGCAGCCAATTTTGGATTTCAACCTTCTTTGAAGACGTTGTCAGAATCTTGTTCATTTCTTCGTGATAATCTCCAGTTTTCTTCGACTCGAAACACCACAGCCCTTCAGCAACAAACCCATTCTCATTGCCGATGTGACAAATAATAAGCCGTTTTCCTTTACCTGAAATTATGAAGAGGTATGTAAGTAAATAAAAC